GGCTGCACTGCAGCTCAGAATAGAGCATTAAAAATCCCTATTTCAGATTCTGCCTCTGCATTCCTGTATGACTATGATTCTTTCCTTTCTGTGTATTGTTGCTGCAGACCTATTCTTCTTGAGCTCTACATCTGGGAAACTCAAAGGGTTAATATCCCACAGAAAAGCCATCTGACTTTTTTTTTAAACTGGAAGTAGGAGTGTATAGTGTGAAACAAATCTGCTAAATCATTCCTTCAGTAAGTGGTAGGTGCCCAAGTACTTGTCTCCTCCCGTACTAGTACAATTGAATTTTTGGATTTGCTCCCCAGTTTTGTCCCAGGCCTTTCTTCCCTCTTGGCAGATGTGGCCTTTTCAACTATCTTCAATTAAGGCCTGAGGCTTCTTCTGCAGGACTGGGGATTGCAAGTCAGTGGTAGTTCTGAGCAGTTTCAAATACTGTGAATGGATTCCATGGAGTTAATCCACAGGGATGAGAGAAATCTGTCACAATTACAGATTGCAACTTCTGTGGAACAAACTGGACTCCACACAGCGATTCAGAACCCTCAAATGACCCCAGTACCAGTTGCAGAAGTGGATGTCTTAAGAGAAGCTTGCAGGTTCTGGCTGCCAGTGGATCCAGAGAGCACCCCTCCCTACATTGCTTTTTCATTATGATAGTTCCTTCCCACAGGGCACTCTTACCTCCACCATCACAACCTATAGCTTGTATGACAGTTCCTTCCCACAGGGCACTCTTACCTCCACCATCACAACCTATAGCTTTTATTAGTGCACATTTATTTACCAGTGTTTATAATCTAAGAAAATAGCCATGCACAGAATCTGATTTCATGTCATTGTTGCTATTCATTTGTGATAACTGTCACCTTGTGCTACTTTCATACTAATTGGATAATTTGAAAATGATTTTTTTCTAACATCTATTATCCCCCCATCCTATTAGAACCCCATCCTGGCTGGTGGGTCTGCACTGTGGGTATTCAGCTGCACGTGGAACACTTTCATGAAAGTTTAGATACAAGTGTTCTAGCAAACTGCCTACTATATACTAGTTCTAATTAAAAGGTGAAATTTTAGAATATAATGTTCTGATCAGATACTTTGCACAAATGTTTGAAACTGAAAATATATTTTTTTTAATTAAACTTAATGGCAAGGCTATATTAAATCAAGAAATCAAAAGCAATGAATGTGTTCTGCTATAAACCTCCAAATTCATTGGATACATAGCGTCCTATGCACTATGTGGATTGGATAAGTAAATGATTTGACAGCCAGTACAGGTAGTCTGAGTTGGCTTTGAGGTCCTTCTCTATTGAAGAATCAGTGTTTAAGTGCTTCTACCCACCTCCACATCATGTGCGAATATAAGCTTCTTGAAGCATTGAGCTAAGATTCAACCCTGAAATTGATTTTAGTTCATTTATTCAATGTAAAGAAACCTTCAGTGGATTCTTTGTACATTGTTTTTAATTGAGTTGCAGAAAAATGTTGCACTCTGAAATTTTTCAGACTGCAATTTAGTAAGTCTGGAGAAACTGAAAAGATTTCTGCTCTGTACAAGAAGGAAGCTTTCTGGTTTTATGACCATACTATGTACAATAGGAATTGTAAAAAGGGAAGAAATGTGACAATGTTAACATAGAAAGCTACACAAGATTTTCTAGGCTTTGATTTGCTTATTTAAAAGTAGGTGTTTCTCTTTTTCTTGTGTCTGTAGTAGTAGTAAACAGTTGTGCCTTATTGTCTAGTGCATTCAGATACTGTATTTATCTACCCATAAATAAAATTCTTCCCTGTAAAAATTGTGCCTGTTTGATGGCTGTCTGATTTTTAAGGCTATTGAGCTGTAGAACCTATCTGATTCTATGTACTTCAGAAAGCAAAGGTTCTACAGCTCATCTGATTCTATGTACTTCAGAAAGCAATTTTAAATTCTCTTGAAATCTATGTAAGTCTGTAATTGAATTATATTTAATTATTAATAATTAGTCATGACTTTGAAAGTCAGCCATTTGATGGCTGTCTGATTTTTAAGGCTATTGAGCTGTAGAACCTATCTGATTCTATGTACTTCAGAAAGCAAAGGTTCTACAGCTCATCTGATTCTATGTACTTCAGAAAGCAATTTTAAATTCTCTTGAAATCTATGTAAGTCTGTAATTGAATTATATTTAATTATTAATAATTAGTCATGACTTTGAAAGTCAGCCATTTGCAATCAACTGAGAGAAAAATATTGCTAAGCCTCAGCTCTGTAATAGGGCATGGGGGAATGAGAGGAAAAATAAGCTTATATTACCACGTGGAGTACACAGCTTGTAACTGGTGGGGAGAGATGTAGACTTTTTATGAGCTATAACTGAGAAGTGAAGGTTGACCTATGGTGTCATGAAAGAAGTAAGGATCTTTGAAGGAGAAAAAAATTGTGCAATCATTTAAACACACTTGCATAAAAGGAAAATTGAAGTTACCTATACAGGCTTAAGTTAGGGTGAGGAAGGAAGTTGAACTGCTGAGTACTTGACATTTGCAATCCTACAAAAGTCCCATGGTTGTGGGCACACCTCAACAGAAGTGCTGTTTGTAGTATTCATGTAGATGAAGTTTAGTTATAGCTGAGAACGGAAATGGTCAGTGAAGTGTGATTTCTGAGGGTCAGGTCATCTATCAATGTTCCATAAACACCTTTAAAGTAATGGGATGCTGCATTCATCATTAAGGAAGTACTTTCCAATCCACTGGTAACTAAAGGTGTTGACACAACTTCTGGTAAGAATAAACATTGTCAGAAAGCCTGTTTGGATGCAAGAATTGTGTTGGCAAAGTACATAACAGGTTATTTAATCTTGGAATACCAGGGATATTGCAGGAGACATGGAAGGTGCTACTCTTGTGCTAGTATGCAAATGTTTAAACAGATGAGCAAAGTAACTAGTCAGGTTAATCTGACCTCAGTCCTGGGAAAATAATGGAAAAAAACTTGAGATTCGGTGGATGAAAGGACAGGAACCTAATGCTGATCAACATGATTTGTATGGAAAAGCTTATCTTGTCTACCCTAGTTTCATCATATGAGATGACAATTTTGAGTAATGATAGCATGGATACAATATACTGAGATTCTTGGAAGACCTACTTAGTTCCAGGTGACACACTGATAAACTAGCATTGCATTATCAAACACAGTAAAGGATTAAGAATGAACATCTCAAAGTTGTCAGCAGAGAATCATCAAATGGGGCTGTTTTTAGTGGGATTATACAGGATCTGTACTGGGCCTGTTACACTTACACATCACTAATTTGGGAGGAAATATAAAATAAGTACATTTGCTGCTGATAGTGGTAAATAATATCAAGAACAAGGTAGACATACCAAGTGAATTGCTGGATTACTTGGGAACCTGGGCCTATTAAAACAATGCAATTTAATTCTACCAAATATAAATCTGAATTCCTAAACAAGGAAAGCAGGCAACAGTTATAGAAGTCAACCTTGGAAGACAGGGACTAAAAGGAGGTAGGTAGGAGTCAGTGGAGAAGCCACTCAACCCCTCCCTCCACTGCAGTGCTGTGTCAAAACTTAATGTAATTCTTGGATGTATAAATGGAAGTTGCAAATAGTAAGATTTTGACACTGACACTCAAATACTGTACAGTTCAGATGTCTTCATTTTAAAAGGGGTGTTAAAAATGGGAAGACAAGTTATTTTGAGGGCTAGAGAATCCTTTATACTGAGACGAACACTTAATTCTGGTTAGTTTATCAAAGATTGAAGGGTTTGGTGTAAAAATAATGTGGAGAGAATGTCATAAAGTGTTCTTCTAACCTAGTACAGAAGAGCATAACAAAACATAATGGCTGAAAGTTGAAACTAGACACATTCCAATCAAATCAAACCAAATTTTAATAGTGAGTGTTTAACCATTGGAACAAACTGAGGAAAGTGGTGCATTCATGAGTGGCTATCTTGGGTGAGACAGTGGTCAACCTAGTCCAGTATCTGTAGCCAGACATGAACCCCATCTTGGTTTCCACCCCACTCCCCCCTCCACCAGAGAGAGCAAGAGAAAGGCAGTCAGCCTTTGATGCCCTGGGAACGCAGGTGTGCTGCCTGACCCTGACTCTAACAAACAGAAACCAGACAGTAACTGGGCTAGCTGACGACTTGGGGCCTCCTGCTGTCCTGATGGCTAGTACCAGTAATTGACATGCCTGCACTGTCCCAGGAGAGGAATCTTCGCCCATCACATACCAGAGATGCCCATTGTCTGCATTTTCCCAGGTGTGAATTATGCTTTGCACCCTTTGTGGGAAACTTGGTGTTCAAAGCCATTTTTCCTAATTGGCCACTTGAGACCAGGAAGAAGCCTGCATGACCCAAGGCCTATAAAGAGGGATTTAGTAGCCCACCCCATTTGAGCTCCAATCATCTACACCTGCTGGCAGGTATTGATTGTCTCCCAAGGTCTGTGGGACGCCCAACCTTGCCCTACTTCAAGTCTGGAATGCAGGGGTGAGAATATATACAGGCAGTCCCCGGGTTACATGGATCCGACTTACATCAGATCCCTACTTACAAACGGGGTGAGGCAACCCCGCACTAGCTGCTTCCCCCCAGCAGACCAGGGAGACGCGAAGCTAGCGCCCCCCCCAGCAGACCAGGAAGACGCGGAGCGGCTTTTCTCAGCAGACACCTCAGCTTGAGAATAAAGGACTGAGGGAAGTGAGGTGTGGGAAAATAAAACTGAGCTCTGGAGAAATGTTTGGCTAGAGTTTCCCCTACAATATGTACCAGTTCCGACTTACATACAAATCCAACTTAAGAACAAACCTACAGTCCCTATCTTGTACATAACCCAGAGATTGCCTGTAGTTAAAATCCCTTTGCCTTTCTGCACTAGATTCTACCCTTAGTAGCACTGATAGAGCTGCAAAGGGTTTCATGGTACCTGTAAGTGACTTATTAGTGTAATTTCTGTCCTGTCCTTTGTAGTGTCTGTGTTATCTGTAACACAGCAGTAGCATTTAACAGCTAAGTTTACCCTGTAACAATAAAATAGTAACTGTTTAAGCTTTAACCTGACTCCTTCAGTTGCTGTAACAGAACCAAGCACAATTTTAAAAAGAACTTCAGCCGGTCATAAGGGACAGGTATAGGAAGAGCTTGGGCGTTATGGATCGTGTCACTCCCAGGTGACAGATCTGTTGGGGCATCTCAGTCTTCCCTAGACTGCCCACTGTGAAGGGATCATATATCCTAGCAGTAAAAATCTGAGATGTAATAAGCTCTCCCTGTAAACTTCTTGGGATGCCCGTCAACCTTCTCTAGGTTGCCTGCTGCGAAGGGACCCTGGTCTCAGCAGTTGAAGTCTCAGGTGTATAACACACACACACACCCCACTCACTGCCCTGACCGTCGGCTGACAGTATCCTCTTTTGATAGTAGCTAGGGGCAATCTGGTCCTTGCAATGTATTACTATTTATCAGTCTGTTGCAAAACCTCCTCCATTGACACCTTAATCTGAGACAAATGTGAGAACTGTCACCAAAACAGTGACCGGTATGGGAATTTCCCATAGTCTTCTGCAGTGAAGACCAAAGCAAAGAATTCACTTAGTTTCCCTGCAACTTCCTTATCCTCCTTGGCTACGTCTAGACTGGCATGATTTTCCGCAAATGCTTTTAACGCATTTGCGCAAGAGGGCTTTTGCCCGAACGGGAGCAGCATAGCATTTCCACAAGAACACTGACAATCGTACATGAGATCGTCAGTGTTTTGCGGAAATTCAAGCGGCCAGTGTAGACAGCTATCTAGTTTTTGCGGAAAAAGCTTACCAGTCTAGACGCAGTCCTTGAGTGCTCCTTTAGCACCTTCATTATCCAGTGGCCCCATTTGATTATTTGGCAGGCCTCCCACTTCTGATATACTTACAAAAGCAAACAATTGTTTGTCTTGCTAATTTTTCAAATTCTTTTTCACTTGACTTGCCGGAGTTATTCTCATTTTTCTCAGTAGGACTTGTTCCAATTTTTAAAATGTCTCTAACTTCATCTCTTGATCTATTTAACCATTGTGGCTTTTTTGATCTCTCCCCACCCCAAAAACAAGTTGCAGGAATTTCACTTTTGTTGTTGCTCCTTTTAAGTTCTGTTTAACTAACTTCCTCATTTTTGTGTAGCTCCCGTTCTTGAAGTTAAGTGCTGCTATGGTGAATTTCTTTAGTATTCCCCCAAGCATAAGCATAATTTAATTACATTGTTACTATTACTGAGATTCAACTGTATCCACATATTTTCTTTCATGTTTTCAAATCAGTGATTTGGAAGATGTGCTTTACCCAAACAAGTGATTGGGCTCAAGATAGGGGTAAATTGGTAGAACTTAATGGCCCATAACTAGGACTGTACCAAATTTATGGTCCATTTCAGTTATCAGTTTTTAAAAATAGTAAATTTCATTATTTCAGCTACTTAAATCTGAGATGTCAAGGTGTTCCAATGGTGGGCACGTAGAGAAAAGTTGCGAGGTTATTGGAGGGAGGGTTGCAGTCCTGTCTGCTAGTCTTACTTCTGTGCTGTTGCTGGCAATGGTGTTACCTTGAAAGCAGGGAATCTGGAGTGTGGCTACTGACAGTTGGCCTAGTTCTGAATGCAGAGCTGCCACCATAAACGTAAGGATGATATTGCAATCATTACTTCTGTACTGCTGGTGGGCTGCTGCCTGCAGAGATGGGAACCTGGCTCACTGTGCTCTAGCCCAGTGTTTTTCAAACTGACTCTCAATCCAGTAGTGGGTCATGGAATGTTAGACACTGGGTCTCATTGCTGCAGGGGGATCAGGTGACCAATTAGGTTGCTAAGGCAGGCTACCTGCCTGTCCTAGCAACACACACTGCACTGTACCCTAGAAACAGCTGGCCTCAGGCCTGGACCCTGGGGGAGGGCTCCATGCACTTTCCCTTGCCCTGAGCACTAGCTCTGCATTCTTGTTAGTTGGGAACCTACTCCTGGCTGTTTCTGGGGGCAGCATGGTCTGTGGTGCCCAGAGAGGCAGGAAGCTGGCCTTAGCTCCCTTGCTGGGCCACTGACTGAGCCACTAAAAGTAATCCTGTCATGTCGCAGCCTTGATGCCCCCAAACCCAGCATCCGTTCCTATATGCCATAGCTCTCGTACTCAGTCCTATCCCATACTTCCCACACTAGTCAAATTATGTTAGGTTATGGGCATCAACAATTGTCTTCATGTGGGTCATGAGAAAAAAGTTTGAAAACAGCTGTTCTTGCTGCCCAAGTTTAAAACAGTAAGGGTGGCGATATCACAACAGCATTAAGCTATGGAGAAAATCGGTGGCCCACTGTCACAGTCACTGTTCAATCTTTTAGAACTGCCTTACTAACTACTTGAGCTCAAGGTAATATAAGCAATGTCCTTTTTGCTTTAAATCATTAACTTTGTACAGAGCTTTGCTTTTACCTTTCTAAGGTGCTGATCACCCTCGACTCCATGTAATTGGATGTGTTCAGCTCCACATTCTTGAAAATCCACTTGCACATGTTGTGAAGACGTGACATTTCAGATGACCTGTACTCGGCATATAGTCCTGAAGCAGCTTTCCTACTTCAGCTGTTACGTTATTCTCACACTTTAGTATTACTGTGCTGAGCCTTCTACCTAACAGGGGTCCTGCCTAGAATAAAGGTTAATTTAGAGCTCGGCTGAGCCTGGATTGCCAAAACCCATCCGCAGATGGAGCTGCTCCGCTTAAGGTCTGGGAGGAGGGCACGTAATTTTTACCCCTCCCTTGTAGTCTCTAATAAGGAGAGGAATATTGCTGCCCGCTGGGGGTGTCTGTAACAGCTGCTAGGGAACGGCATGTGCTACCAGTGGCCATACACCTTCCCTGGCACGAGAGGTTCACATCGCACACTGGATCAACTCAGGCCCCAATCAATGTGTTAGCAGCAGCGACCCTGGGTCCACGTGCTTTAAGGCCTGTGGGGCTTTCCCGGTGGGAGAGGGGCGCCCTGCGTAAGGGCTGAGCTCTGGCCCCCTAAGGCCCCGCGTCCATGTCAGGGCTCGGTCGCTGTCCCCCCAGGCCGCTCACCTAAGGGGCCCTTTGAAAATTAGGGGTGGGGGGAGGAGAGCGAGTGGAGATCTTATCCCACGTCTCTCCAAGCCTTTCGCAAGAGATTGGCCAATCAGAGGAGCGAGGTTTGTAGGGGGCAGCCAAATATTTCTGACGGATGCAACCACTGGCCAATGCTTATCGAAGGCGGAAGGGTGACGACGAGGTTCCTGATAGGCTGTCTCTCGAGTGGGTGGGGCTGGAAGCGCCGGGCGCCGTGAGCCCCCAACTGGGTGGCCGAGGTGAGCGGGGGAAGATGGCGGAGTGAGAGGAAGAGGCTGAGGGGACAGGGCGGGCCGCGGCCCGGCGGCCTGGCCGGGGCAGGGAAAGGGAGCGGGGAACGATGGCCTGAGGAGTGAGACCGAGCCTGGCTAGTGGCGGGCCGGGCGCGGGACCCCGCAGCTGCCTGATTGGGCTGTGCCCGGGCATTTGTGTGTCCACCCCCCCCCCTTCCCGCCCCCTGATTGGGCTGGGCCTGGCCGGGCACG